TATTTTGTGTTTAAATTTGATATAGTATATATATTATATATCTAATACATATAAACTATATATATATATATAAGGCACTATATATATATATATATAAGGCACTATATATATATCTCTAATACATATAAACTATATATATATCTGATACATACTATACATACTATATATACTATATATACTTATATAGCTATATATAAGCAATTTATACTAGTATACACATATATAGTTTACAAGAAAGTGCCTTAGATAAAAAAAAATAGCCTATGTATATATATATATATATGTGTGTGTGTGTGTGTGTGTGTGTGTATATGTATATATATATATATACATACATACACACATATATAAGGCACTATATATATCTCTAATACATATAAACTATATATATATATATATATATATACATACATACATACATACATATATATAAGGCAATATATATTATATAAGGCAATATATAATTATATATACACATAATACACCCTTATATATACATACTATACATACTATACATACTATATATACTACATATACTATATATATTTATATAGCTATATATAAGCAATTTATACTAGTATATACATATATAGTTTACAAGAAAGTGCCTTAGATAAAAAAAAATTAAAAAAAATAGCCCGAAACGAACAAAGCCCGTTAGGCCCGTTTAGGCCTGCGGGCCCGGCCCATTTAGCCTGGGACCATGTGGGCTTAGGAGCACCGTGGGCCGGTTCCACACATTGGGACCGTTTGGCCCGGGACCGCCTCAGCCCGGCCCGCCTTAAGCCCATGCTCGTTTGGCCCGGCCCGTTTAGTCCCGGGCCCGGACCACAATACAGCCTTATACGTAATACGCCAATAAAAGAAATACAAATATTTGAACCGTAGTGATCACTATAAGAAAAGGTCGAACCCTCATTATTTTCGTAGACTAATAAGGATTTAAGTGCAACAAGCAAGTCCATTATGGAACTACCAAACAACAATAATAACTAAGCCTCAGTCACAAACAAGTTAGGATCGACTATATAATGAAAAAATAAAAATAAGATATCTTACTTGATATGAGTGCCTTAGGTCTGGTTTTAAAAAGAATCCTTTGACGAATTATTCCAATAACGTCCAATTCCACCCTTGATGAACTAATGGCACACTTCTTTTCCTTAGAGTCAAGTTTGATTTTCTTCAATACTAACATTGGCTTTTTCAAGGGCAATTTGGACCCGGTCAATTCATGATACCCAACAGTAAATGTATAATTTTCCTGAAAAATAGCAGACACAAAAATGAAAATTGAAATTCCTAAAATTTCATTTGATAGGAAGAGAAAAAACCTGGGAAGAGGGGCGGCAGAGAATGCCAATTTGGAGATTTTGGAGGCGATCTTTGAAGGAGGGTTGGGTTTCAACCACACCTTGAAGTTCCAGAATTGCCCATTCCGGGCATTTTTCCTCCCCGCAGCTGCATTTTACCTGAATCTGCATTTACGATTCACTGCAACTAAGAACCAATTAGAAAGGTAGATATTCGCTAGAGATTTTGCCCTCTTTGAGATCAGTTTTTAACCTCTTTGAGTTGGGTCCAAGGGCTTTGAGGCGAGAACAGGAAGGTGGGACGCTTTTTGGCGGCAAAGATTGAGCCACACAAACGATGTCGTTTTCAGATAAAAAATAATACTAGGGAAAATAAGTTTTTTTCTGTTATAAAAATAGAGAGAGAATTTTTATTGATTTTTGGGATCAATTACAATAGAATAGAACCCCTCTATTTATTGTGTGACTTAGCCACAAAGTAACAAACCCTAAAATCTGTCTAAAATATAGATATTCACCTTAAATATAATTATATTTATAACCCTCCCCTTTGAATGTCTATTCAACATATAATGTGTCTCGTTAAAACCTTAACTAAAATAAAACCTAGTGGGAAATAAGTTTTATAGAAGGAAAAAGAGTACACATGTTTAGAAATACGTCTTTTGGTTGCCTCGTTAAAAAACTTGCAAAGAAAATTCAGTGGGACAAAACCTTGTCAAAAAAAAATACAATGTGTATTAACTCCTCCTGGTGAGAACATCAATTCACATCTTTAAGCATTGGCATCCCGATATTGTACACTAATTTCTTGAAGGTTGACGTCGGCAGAGATTTGGTGAATAAATCAGCCATATTAACTCCAATGAGTATGTTGCACCTTGAAATAATCATTCTTGATAGATATAATGTCTTCATATAATGTCGTGGAGTGGCCTTTTATTATTTCCATAGAGGTAAAAATTCTCGCTATCACATTATCATGCTTATCGTTATAGCAAGATACAGATATGCACAAATTGCAGTTAGGGTGTAGTACTTCATGACTAAAAATTCTATATGCTTCAAGCCATATAAATAGACTTTAGATACATATCAAGTTTTCATGTCATGCTAGACATATAAGATAGATAAAAGTGATTGCACACTCTGTTGACTTTATACTTTCAAGTATTTGAACTACATGTCCAAAACTACATGTCTTCCATATGAAACCAATTATTTTCGAATTGTGTCTCTTCCATTTGGTCAATATTTTTGTGTCTCTATTCGACAGACTTAAGATCCTCATCTACACTTAGCGCTAGATATCGTTGACGAACATTTTATATCGGTTCCAACATTTCTTCATAAAGACATAACATAGAAATCTCTTTATTCATATTTTCTGGTACCTGGACCTCTCTTGAGATTTTATGAAGTGTTATGTCATGTGATCTTCTAGATCGCTTGCTTCCTTATTATGATCATTTTGATCATTTACTCGTCCTTTTTATTAAAAAGTTTATTTGAAACCGATTTGTCTATACGTTTTAAGTGTACCATGGACTTTGTCCTTCTAGGACTTATTCTAATAAGAGCATTTGCAGTGAGAATATAGTTACTTTTTTTGGGTTAGCAAATGCGTCTGGCATGCTTTGCAATATATTGCAGATGAATTATCTTTTTTACGAACTTCAAGTTCATGTTATCTTATTCGAGGATCGAGATGTAGAAATGATAATTCATTCCACGTAACTTTTTCTCAAATGTTATTATCTCTCCCCCTCATGTTAGAAAAACTAATTTGCTTCCTCAACTTTGGGAACTCATCTTTGTGCGTTATGGTGTTAATCAAAATATAAACCGCACATCAATAATAATAAGATGGAATTATTTAGTTCCTGACCCTGAACAAGTTGTGAGGGGAGAATGTAATATACTTGCGTGTATAACGTATATCAAACTGTTATAGATAATTTTGTTCTCATAAGCAAGCTATTAAGTGGAGGCCGTCAATAAATCATTTTGCTAAACCAACTGTGATATAAATCAACTTATCAAAATGAACTTTCTTGAATAGAAAATCTGGAAATTTTGCTCTAAATTAAATTATTGAGCAAGAAACATGGCGTTCAAGTTGCGTATTGATAATAAACGCACATATAACCATCTCATAGATGCATCTTTATAAGGTTTACATGGCAGGTGAATGGTCTCATATTCACCTTTGATAAATTCCAGAATTCAAGGGATTTAATCTCAATTTTAGTTGGTATAATAATCGCGAGAACAAGCAACACATGAGAATTCATGAAAAATCTTCTTCAACACTTACCCATGTGAATTCTCATTTATTTTACACATCATACTTAAATCAAGATTGCTCAATAGGCCATACTTGATAAAATTGTCTATATCAGTAAACTTCAGGTTTATATTATGACATGTGCAATTATTAATTAAACTCCTAGTTTACTATGATATGGGTATTTTATATTAATAAACATCCAGTTCACTGTGTCATGTAATTTTACCATATTTTTATTTATGTAGTACAAATCAGGCAATAAAGCGGCTAATTTTTATATACTATTACCCTGTTACAGTTGTAGTAATATAAAGATATTAAATCTTCTCATTGTTTATAGTCTCAATATAACCAACCGCTTTCGCGAATACTCTAGAAACTCAATTAATTTCTTTGAAAACTTACTACAACACAATGTCTTATTGATAATCAAATTTATTCCTCAAAAATAGAATTGGCTCTTCAGAGCTCACAATTAATTCTCTACTACCATATATTCATCAACATCTATATTGTGAATATCTTTTAAAGAGAAAGTTATACCATTACGGTCATAGTCAAAATTATATGCAAGATTTGTTTCTTGCATTACTGTTGTCCTTTAATAATCGCATTGGCAAAATATTTTGGCATATAATAGGTACGTGACCAATGATCATTCATATCATAATAATGATATTATTTTCTTATTTCGTCTCCGATCTTCTTCTATAGGTGAATATAGTATATTCACTACCACTAGTACGTTCATATTCTTCCAAGAATAAATATGTATTCATTAAATCACAACGATTTCTCCAAGTATATGTACTCATTATTGAATACATATTCTTGGAAGAATAAGTACATGTATTCACAAATTTATGTCAAGGCTCTTGCGACACAAATTCGCGAAGAGAAATTAGACCACCCGTCACTTTTGTTTTTATACCTGTTCGAGTCCGCTTATACAAAGCTTAATTATAGCACCCAATTTTTTTTCGATTCGGTGGTTCGGTTTAGAAGATCCATCCATTTAGCAACACCTTAGGATGATATAACATTAAAAGTGAAGGGCAAGGTTCAAACGAGGAAAGACTTACGGTGGATACCTAGGCACCCAGAGATGAGGAAGGGCGTAGTAATCGATGAAATGCTTCGGGGAGTTAAAAATAAGCATAGATCCGGAGATTCCCGAATAGGGCAACCTTTCGAACTGCTGCTGAATCCATGGGCAGGCAAGAGACAACCTGGCGAACTGAAACATCTTAGTAGCCAGAATGATTCCCGTAGTAGCGGCGAGAAAAATGGGAGCAGCCTAAACCGTAAGACGGGGTTGTGGGAGAGCAATACAAGCGTCGTGCTACTAGGCGAAGCAGCCTGAATGTTGCACCCTAGATGGCGAAAGTCCAGTAGCCGAAAGCATCACTAACTAGGTGATGTCTTTTTTTCTTACTTTTTTTTTTTTGTTTTTATTCTTTCTTTTGTATAATTCCATTTTGATTTATATTTCGTGAGAGAAATTTTTTGTCATGCTTCATGAACTAATGGACTGTCTAATTTTTTTGTAATTGAAAATTCGACTGCAATTCTGCTCGATTCTCTGTAATCCACATCTTCCGCATGGGCCCGGACCCCCGAACCAGGACCGTTTATAATTTTCCGGGCTATAAAAAACGACCTAAGCATATTCAAATTTTAAACTTTATAAATTCAAGTTGAAAATTTTATCATAGCTCATTTAACTTACTGAACTGGAATTTAACAAATTTTTTGACAGGTCCAAGCTAAAGCTATTAAGCTCGGATTAACCCATAACTTCTGAACTTCATCCGCCCTCTCGCCCTACCATGGGCCACCTTGAGATATCCACATAGTCCTTGAAAGGCGGCATACGGAAAAGGTAAAGCTGTTTTGTGCATAATAAAATCAAAACTAGCAAGCAATGTCTCCTTTAAGTGGTGCAATAGAAGTACTACCATTACAAAGTCGACACACCAAAGTATAGAATTTAGAGAAATATACAGTATGCCAGCCAACTTGGTCTACACCAAACTTCTAGACTTCTCTTTTAGTGTGAAGACGACAATGCTTCAAAAACACCAAAAGTAAGGGCGGAAAGAGATGAGACATATTATTCATCATGCGGCTACCGCACCTGCAACATTTAGAGATGCACTGCTTTGAGATAAAGAGGTCTTTCCACCATAATCAAGTATTACATCAATAAAACACCTATAAAAACAGGAAGTAAAATGCTTTCTTCATTATTTCATACAACAATTTAGACATTTAAACTACCTTGACTGCCAAGGAGCCTCATGTGACACAAGATAATAAACAAATACACCATGTCATATTTTTTTTGATCTCCACAAGCACAGTTCCCTCTGGTTCTCAGCTTTTACTAGCGTCACCATTAATCCTTCTTGTCGACATCAACATCAGATTTGTCCACAGTTTCAGCAACAACACTCTCTGATGGAACATCATCTTCCAACGGCTTGGCACTCGCTGATGCACCATCCTCGGCTGGCTTAGCTTCACGATCAGTTGCTTCAACAGATTCGCCGTTAGCTGCCCCCTCAGTTACTGGCACTGCCTGCTTGATAGTCCCAACTTTGACATATTTGCTCATGAATTTGTATTCCCAATCTTGTAAGGCCTCAAGCTCAAAAGGACCAAGGCCAGAGATATCCCCGGTGAGATCTTTTTCCTCAAAGGACATCTTGGCAAGAGCTCTACTAGCATCCTTTCCAGCAAACAATGCATAAGGTCCCCCAGGTCCATAGAACATTCTGCACAAACACATACAAGTTTAAACACAAAGATGTTGTGGCAGCACCTACTGTCGAAAAACTACTGAAAAGATGACGAGCCCTCAGCAGCTCATAAAGCTTAGCATTGATCAAGATATGTTAGGTTTACATATGAGTATACAAATTTATTCAGACTCATGAATATTTGATTTATCAAGGATATAGTTCTAGATAAATTTAATGTATGCTGGGACTAACAGAAACACATCTAAAGCAATTTGAACTCATAATTCAATATATAATAGATCTTCATTTGACGGTTTGTTTGCTGATACAAGAAAAAAAGTACATATTAAACATTTCAGAATCCAAGAGTTTTAGAATCAACCGAAGCAATTCAGCACTCCAATGAGATTATAGTGGACGTAATAAACTAGAGAAACAACAAACTAAATATGTCTACTATCTCTCCAAAACCTCAACAAATAAAAATGAAGACATTGGTTGAGAAGACCAGTTGATTACAATGCAAAAGGTGATCTATTATTGCAAAAATGGAGAAACTCGACTCACTCGTCTAAGAATCAAGCATACGTCACCTTTGCTATCTTAAAGAATTGGACCCAAGACATCTAAAAGCCCTTTAGACCTCGATCAGTTGCCCTTCGACTAGCCCTCGCCACCTTACCAGCAGAGTTACACACTTAAAAGACGTTCAAGAAAATTGGGAAAAGAAAACATTTTATCCAAAGCTTTCCCCATCAAGTCGGGCACCAAAAGTAAGAAGAAAGAAAAATGCATACCAATTGTAAGATCTATACATCAATCCGAATTTCCACAAATTTCCATTCCTAATCCAGAATAATAGGCAATTTCCATTCCTACTCCAGACTATTAGGCAACGGCGTGTAATACCAGGTTTCAAAACCTGAGAACTTCAGCATAATTCACTTTTTTTCCAGCAAAAAAGTAATTCACAGTACTTGCAATACACAATGAGTAAAAAGTCCAACTTCTCCAAAGCCATCAAGACTTGTTATGCTTTACTCTATGTGCATATAAAGTTTCCAACTTTTCCACAAGACATCATCTAACAAAAGCACCTATATTAACAATCAAGAAAGGAAAATCCCACACCCAAAAGCAATCCCAAAAATCAAATTCAAAATCCAAAAGCAGAAACAGAAGATTATGCAAAAATAACACATACCCAGAAGTCAAAATAGCTTAAAACACTAGCAGACAAAGAAAAATACCTGCTTTGAGAAACATCATAGATCTGAGCCTTAATAGCCATTAAAAGAGGCTTCTTGGGATCAGACCCATCATACTCTTTCAACTCTTCTTCAGTAATTTCTCCAAGTTGAACAGGAGGGGGCAAAGGCTGCATCTGTTCCTCAAAATCTCTTGACCTTTGGTGGTGACCATGGTCAGATGAACCGAACAAACCCGAGACAACATAGTAGAAAGCAAGAGCCAAAGCAACAACTGTGAAGAAAGTAGCAGGAGATAGACCTGTGTATGCTGTGATTGAATCTTTGATGGTGTCCCATAGTTGTAGGACCATGGTTCTTAGACTGAAAAGAGAGATTTGCGGAGTGGAGAAATATCTGTGAAATTGGGGCGAGATTAACAAAGAGGTGCGTTGAATGATGAAGGGGCTGGCAGGGTTTGTTTATCTAGTGGCAAGTGTCTCATACAGACTGTAGTAACAGTATCTTAGTCCCCCCCTTTTTTTAGTAATATTTTTCTCAAAGACCAATTTACACCTTTATTTTGGACTATTTAATATTTAAGATTCACTCCTTCTCAAAAAATATTAGTATAGAATATTACTAGTATATTTTGTTTGGGTTTAATGGAAGAAGCACCTTTTGGATTGCATATGATCATTTCACCATTTTATTGTTTATAAATTTAGAGGATTGGCCTTATTTTTTATACATGAAAAACATAAAAACTTCTCCTTGTTATAAAATAAAAGTAATGCAGTAAAATGTAAACAAGAAGAGATAGAGAGAATGGAGAAGTGTTTTTTTCTTTCACTTTGGTATAATTTTTCATTGCAATTACATGGCCTTTTATAGGCATAAAAAGTAAAGATGATGGACATAAAATAGGAAATTTAATCTTTATTCACAACATGGGCATCCAATGTAGCATCCAATGTAGTATCCAAAGTAGTATCCAATGTACAAACTATTTATAACACTCCCCCTTGGATGTCCATGTAAGATAATGTGCCTCATTAAAAACTTACAAAAAAAAATATTGGGATGTACATAGTTATTTATAATATGCATTGCTTGCTGCCTCATTAAAAACCTTACCAGGAAAACCCAGTGGGACAAAACCTTGGTTAAGGAAAAGAGTGCAGCGTGTAGTTACTCCCCCTGATGAAAAATCACTTAATGTCTCGAAGACGA